CTTTAGAGAAATCAATTCTACTAACTTGATTGTATCCTTTAGCAACTAGCAGGGCATTAAGTCTCTCTAGACTGCCATCTAACTTTAATTGAGTTTTAAAGACCCAACGACAACCAACAACATACATACTTGGAAGACATGGAACTAGATCCCAAGTTGACTTAACATGTAGGGCTTCAGTTTCTTCTTCTATCGCACAATACCAACCCGGATAACCCAAAACAGACGTAATGGATTTAGGTTCATAAGGGACAGCTTCAAAAGTAGGAGTGCCTGAGATTGCTACCATGGATGACATAATTTGAGGTCTTCGAGTACTATCTTGAGATCTTCTAACCATGTGATGATGATACTCAGAGATTGGTAGAAAATTAGATTGATTAGTTTATTGCATGACAACATTTTCATCACCAGGACTGTATATTGTATCATCCTGAACATTGTGCATTGATGTTGCAATGGTAACATCTTCCTCTATAATGGAAGTTGCTGAGCTATCATTGTTGATTGGAAAAGCCGGTCCTGAGATACCAGATACATCAAGGGTGCCCGTATGGGTGGTCTATGTGGAGGTGATGAATCAGAAGAGGAAGGAGCCTGTATGTCAAACTCATAATACTTGGACCATTCTGCATAGGTGGATAACTCCCCTTGAACTTGAGCACATCAAAACAAAGAATTGAGATTAATATAATGATATATATTTTCATAAAAAACGACATGTCTAGAGATATAAACTTGTCCTATTGGTGGATATAGACATATGTTGCCTTTTTGCTAGATACTATAGCCCAAAAAAACACATGGAAGAGAACGATGACAAAATTTATCTACAGCATAATCTCGAAGGTAAGGAAAACACCAACAACCAAAAATCTGGAGTGAAGAATAGTTTGATAAGCGGCCAAACAATAAAGAATATGGTGAATCCATTTGCAAAATGGTCGAGGGAATCTTGTTTATTATACATATTGCAGTATGAAAAGCTTCAACCCATAACCGTTTAGGAATTCCTGCATGAAACATTATTGTAAGACCAAATTTTACAATATGTTTATGTTTCTTTTCAGCTATTTCATTTTGTTTAGCGCTTCTCGGATATGATATCTGTTGCACAATCTCATTCTCAATAAGATGAGCAATGAATTCTTTCTTAGCAAACTCATCACCTCCATCTCATTGAAAAATTCAAATTCATTTATCAAATCTTCTTTCAACCATTTGATGAAACTTCACAAATGCAGATAAAAATTCAGATTTTATTTTCAAAGGATAAATCCAAAAAAAACGAGTGTCATCATCCACAAACAACATATAAAAGCAATAACTCTAATTAGATAAAACTGGAGCAGGACCTCGTAAATCTGAATGAATCTTAAAAAGAGGTTTTGTAGAGGTCTTATCAGTACTACTAAACGTGAGGTTACAACTTTTTCCCATTTGACAACTAACACAAATAAAATGTGATTTATTCAATACATCAACATTAATCAACTGTTTAGATTTTATGTAACATACTACTTTACTTTGAGGGTGTCCAAGTCGTTGATGCCACACATTTTATGATGTTCTTTTATTTCGATTAAAAAATAAAGCTTCATTCACATCCTGAAATGCATAAAGTCCGTCATTTCTACTCCTGTTGGCTAGAGTTCTCCATGTACCCCTTTCTTTAATCTAAAAACCATTTGATGAGAACACAAAATACAAGGAAAATCTTTTGCAAATTGACTAACAGATAGCAAATTATTTTTCATATCTAGTACCAAAAGAACATTAGAAATATTAAAATTTTCAGACCTAACATCAATATTTGTATTACTCACATGTGAAATAATTAATTGCTCACCATTGCCAACCATGATTGTATCTCCGCCACTATAAGAGCGAAGGTTTTGCAGTTTACCTGTGTCTCATGTCATATGAGTTGAGACATCAATGTTTGGGAACCATTTCGAGTCTTGGAAATTTGTTGTAGTCACTACAACAAGAGCTTGAAGAATGTTTTTTTCTTGGTACATATGATTGAATCGGTGCCAGCACTTTAATACAACTTGTCTAAATTTTTCACAAATTTGACACTTTTTCTTGGATGTCTGAGCTGATTATTGTATCTGTGATCTTGTTGGAACCTTTAATTCATGTATTACATAGGTATACCACCACTTTCATGGTTTCTTTGAGGCATACCAAGTCCACCATTATTGGTTTGACATGTTTGAGCAATTCCACTCCCCCAAGAATTAAAAAACTGTTGACCAACAAAGTTGCGTTTGCCTCTACCTCTATAATTTCTAGTACCTCTGTTAGGTCCAACATTTTTTTGTTGTCTAGCAATAACTATATTTTGATTGAGATACGAGTTCTTAGAGACATGAGATTGATTTCTAACCTCATGGCCTTGACGAAGTTGTACAATTTCATAATAGGAAGGAATCAGATGATTAAGCATGGTGGTAGCAAAATTATCATATTTTGGACCAAGTCCATTAAGAAGCCAAAATACTTTATTTTCATCTGGTATAGGTTTGCCAATTGCAGTTAAATCATCACAAATACTCTTGAATTTGCATATGAATTCTGATAGTGTTGAATTCCATTTCTTGCGGAGTTGGAGTTGCTGGGTAAGTTGGAACTCCCTAGCTTGAGAATTATCTGCGTAGGTATTTTTCAGGCATTTCTTTATTTCTGCAGAAATCTTGAGGCCAATGACAAGGCCAAGATACTTTTTTGATAATGTCCCTGTGATCCAGGTTTTAAGAAACCGGTCGGACTTTAGCCATGATTTCTAGTCTGGGTTTTCGATTTCATTATTACCATCAAGAGAAGAAATCTTTTGACTTGGTGTAGGGCAATCACCATTAATGAAACAAAAAAGTTCATGATTATATCTGAAAGAGAACATTTGAGTTTCCCATAATAGATAGTTATTTTGTGTCAATTTAATAGACACAAAGTTTCCTAAGTTAAGGGTGGAGGGATATGGATATTTGGATATTGAGTATGTAGCATTCATTGGAACAAAGAGATATTAGAGCACCCAAAACTTGCAAGACGGAATTAATTTAAGACGAAATTTGTAGGAAGAGAAGGAAGAAGATTTAATGGAGCTTGTGACGTGAGGTGGCTTGGATTTAAACAAGACGATGCCTTGAATAAAGGAGAAGACCATTGTTGTTATGGAGAAGTTCATGCAATTTGGAATATGAGAAAACAATGGATTTAAGTTGGGATAAAAGGAGATGGTGGGTTTTGAAAATGATAATTTAGACCAAAAGAGTTGAATTTGCTTGACGCATAAGACCAACACCAATTCCCACACGCACCAAACCAATACCAATATACATGAAAGCAATACCAATATACATGAATATGATGAACTTAGAGAGAGACTCTCACGCACAACATCAACACCAACACAGATGAATAGAACGAATAGAGAGGCTTGGAAGAGAAGTGTTGTTGCCCGCCCGTTTTGGATTTGAGAAACTACTTCAGGATAAAAATATTGAGAGGATCGTTAGTGCTATGATATCATGAAGAAATTTTAGACAGAGAGAGGAAACTTTGAAAAAAATAATTGTGCCCCACACTAAATTTGTGGTAGTCTTTTTATTATATATATATTGGTGATACAATGATACTTTCCTATCTTGTTGCCGGTGACATACACTTCCATATCTTATATCATTCTCCTTTCAACGGGAAAGAGCAATACACTTTCCTATCTTGTTTGAGCAAACACACTTTCCTGTGTATTTGAATTTTGTTTCTATTAAAAAAGAGATTGACAGAGTCATTAAAGAGAGGGATTAAAAGAATATTGCCTTGAGATTGAGCGAGGGAAGCAAAGAGAGGCGGAGGGAGAGGAGAGAGAGACGTGCCTATAAAGGGGCAAATTTTCTCTCTCTCACCGTGTGCGCTAAATAATAAGTCCATAGCTGGTGTTCGGTTTATCAGGGGATAATTTGGAAAAAAAAAAAAAGCGAGGTGGTGGGGGGGGGGGGTCAATTACAAAATGGAAACAACTCCCCCTACAAATATGGCATGTACCTAATTTTCTAAAAAAAAAACTCAAAGAGTGTATGATGGTAAGAAAAAAAAAAAAAAAAAAAAAAAAAAAAGCTTATAGTCATATGGTGACAATAAATCTAACCAGATCTGGAACCCGATGGGTCCGGGTCTGGATCCAGCCGGACCCAATCCGTTGCCACCCCTAAATATTGCCTGCAAGAGGCGTCGAAGATGTACAATTAGCTTCAGCAAGAGCAAGCTAGTCCCAAGAATGAGAATGCGACCACTTAAAACCCCGGTTCTTTCTTTTATGAAAAATTGTTTCATGCGGGCTGGACAGCTTGACTACATATGCGGTACAAAAATTGTTAAGCATCTATCTTTAACATCTAAAAACAATGGAAGCTAACGGTCTAAATGTTTTCTTATTAGAATATTATTTTTAGTTTTTAAAATTTACTTGTTTTTTCATATTCATGAACTCCATGTTAGATTACAAGTCTTTAAAAATTATGTTAAAAAATCTATCTAAAAAATAGATTTATTATACGCCCACATTTCTACATATGCGGGCCTGAGCGCATAGAAACCGGTTCCTTCTTTTATTTCTCTAGCATTTGTAAACCGTTTGTTTATAAGAAAAAGTTTATATAAAGTTGCATCATTATGATGTAGAATCACATATGCACCTCAAAAAGTCATAAGAAAAAATTGTTTTAATGTTGAAAAAACCTCTAATTGGTCGTCTCAACATCGCGATGTATGAATATAAAAAAGAAAAGATTTTGAGTTTAAAAAATGGTGCATCTTGCTGTATATTATTTAGACCGCCTATTTTCAAGATTTTCATACGGTTATAGATTTACTTGATTTTAACTATTTTTAGACTTTTAAATTTTATAACTAGGTATAAAAATAGATTTCGAGATAATCCTAATAATGTTTTTCACTTTAAGATACAATTTGGAGGTGGAGGTGCGCCTTAATTGGATTTTTTAAGGTTGCAACCTTACAGAAACCACACCCTTGTTTATAACAATCGAAGTCTGTTTCCATCGTGTCGAGCTTCAGGTCTGAGAAAGGGCTTTGTGCTTTTCCTTTTTGTTTTTGCTGATCTCTAAAGCTTTGAGAAGATGAAGAACCTGAAGCTTTATTCAGAGGTTACCCTGGAATTGGGTTTACAGTCACAGGGCGAAAACGTTACTCTTGCAGCCATGGACGTTGAACAAAATCGCATGTTCTACGCTTCTACTTCCAACTCCATATACATTCTCCATCTCCATGTAAACCCATCTTGTCATTCGTCTTTTTTCTGGACTAAAAACTGTGAAGCCAACTGCTTCTTGTTCTACTTAGCTTGCTTGTTGCTTAAACATGATGAAGCCTTCGTTTATGTTAGTTCCAATATCTGTACCAATTAGAGCTGAATACCAATGTCTTTGTTTTTTTTTTTTCTGCTTTTCTTTAGTTTGCTAATGGGTTTTAGTGGTTTCGTTGAAATTGGTCATTTTCTAGAAATATTTAGTGATTTTATCCGTTTAAACGACGGATTTCTATATGCGTTGTGCGACTTAGTGAAGGTAGTCCATATTGTATTTTTGTTAGTGAAAAATGTGCAATTCATGTTTGGGTCTGATGATAATATGATACTGAAGTTCTTAGTCACTGGTTTGTATTTGCTCTCTCATATGGAAGCAAGTGAGTGATCATAGGATAAGCAATATGCGATTGTTTCTTTTGTTCTTTCGATCAATTAAGGAAGCATCAATAGTTAAACCTTGCCGTAGCTTTCCCTTTTATTATTTATTCAGTTGATTCACTTGACAGAACACACTTTTCCATTGATTAATGCCTCACTGTATTTTTATTATTCTTACTATGATTATTATTATTATTCTTATTCTTATCCTTATTTTAATAATAATAATAATAATAATAATAATAATAATAATAATAATAATAATAATAATAATAATAACAACAATAACAATAATAACATTAGCATTATGTAGTATTAGTAATAGGAGGAAGGGTTAAGGATTTACCCTGTGTGAGATATCACATTGTTCGAGGATGCTGTCGGAGTAAAAGATCGTCATTCGTCAACAAGGACGTTCTAGTGCGTTGTAGATTCTTATCCAAGACTTGTATCATTTGATGATGATGCCATTTATTATTATTATTATTATTATTATCATCATCATCATTCTTCATTCATTCATTCTAAAGCATTGTTCATCCCAGACCATCCCTTGCCACTAAACGGATTGATCATTCACATTCCTATAAAATGAGATAAGGTCACAATGCTTAAAAACCTCTGCAAATATGTCAATGCCATGAGATGTTCAACTTCTGACTTGGCGATCTAATCACATCCAATGAGACACCCTTTAGGCCTCTACTTGGCATGGCCCTAAAGGAGCTAAAACTTTGAGTCCTTTGAGTAAATCTTTCACCTCAGCGTGTTTTTTAACTGCATACACCTGACCTCTTAAGTGACCTCAGAAAGTCTTTAGAGTTTCCCTAGTGCTATAGAGAAAAAGACTACCAACTTAAGCAGGGCAAAGGTTGACAAACCCTTTGCCATCAAAGTTGAACTTCACAACATCCTGCAGATTACACTGCTCTTCAGCATCTATGATTTGGTAATCAAGGGTTCACTAAAGGCGAATGGGAGCCTTCCTTGAAATTGTTTTTCACATTAATAGCCCCAAACACCTCTCCACATATTATGAGAAAAATTTCTTTCTAGCTAAAGGGCACAGGTGATGATTGAGATGATTTCTCTTGTAACACAAAACCAACCATCGTGCCTTTGAAGATTTTGGTTGTTATGCCGCTTCCAAAATTGCTAGGAAATGGCAAGGAAACTTGTTTTCTTGCGGATACAACCTCCAGATGGCAGTTGAAGTTAGAGAGAACTGAATAAGAGATCGTTGGTCTACTCAGGAAGTACACTACCAACTCCAAAGGAATCCAAATGGAGGTCCTTGCTGTTCTTCTGAAATTTCCACGAGTAAGAAGATGATTGACTGTCATTTTGTCCTCTAGGGTGTTTATTGACTTATTATATATCTGGAGAAACCAATGATAAAAATCATCTGTAATAAGAATCCTATCTAGACAATCCGAAGACCTAAAACTGAACCTTGGGAGAGCAAGCACTCCCTGGTTGCACGAGCTAGACAAAATTAGAACTCAATGCATCAAGACTAGGTACATAAGGAAGCAACTTTTTTCATGAGAAAGAACTATTTATGATTTGTTTTGGTAGCTGGAAAACTTACACGCTTTTGCAGGAAGAATGCAAGTGCAAGCTCACAATATCTAGTACTAACAGCATTGATGAAACATTATTGAAGGTTTTTCTTATCATTCATTATGGTAACTTTTCAAATGCATTGAGAGCATGAGGCATATGAATTAGTTTTTTTCCTGAGTTTCAAGCAGCAGAGCTATAGGCCATATGCATTATATTTCAACCTATTCTTAAAATAAGAGGATGCAGTGGGAAAAATATTGAGATAATTTATGAAAGGAATGAGAAAAAATTAGAAACTCTATTTAATGAAATGGGGAATACAATGCCTATTGTAAGAAAAAATAGTTGGGCTTTTGACTTGGAAAAAAAAGAAGCAAGGATTTTTTCTATGTCAACATCGCTTTTAGATCACATTACATGGTCATTATGATAGTTGAATTGTGCGACAAACTACTACAAGTCTATAAGAGCAAGAGTAAAACTTATGTAGTTACCTGTTTTGTTAATGAAGAGGAAAATGATAACTTTTACAGTCAATTTACACCCCTTGTGAGGGGAACATTTGCAGCATCATATAGTAGCAGAGGGTGTAGATCGTCCGGGGGGCGAGTACGCCACACTGTTGCATCTGCCATGGATACTGCCCTCTTCGCTAAATAGTCAAGAACATATCAGCTTCCCTGTATGTATGAAAAATCGGCCACTGGTGATTTGCAAATTAGGAGAGACTAGCCCTGCAGTTAGACAAAACTACACGCAATGTCCATGGTGCGTTATATTTTTGTCTCAAGGATTTCACGAGCAATATTGAGTCACTTTCTATGATGAGGGGTTTGCAATTAAATTCTTTTGGAAGAGAAATTCCCAACTTCAAAGCATGGAATTCGACATCATTGTTAGAGTTGAGGCCTAATGGGGCTGCAAAAGCAGCTATGAAACCACCTACATCGTTTCTTGTGATTCCCCCACAACCTGCAGTTCCAGGATTATGGATGCAAGCGCCGTCTATGTTGAGCTTGAAGTGGCCGACTAGGGGGAGGGACCACACCACTTGTATAGGGATGGGGGGTGTCTCAGCACACCAGTTTAGCTTGAGATTATTGGTTATATTGCGCTCCGAAGAATGAAAGGCCTAGCTTTTTTCTTTAGCAAGTTAGCTGACAAAGTGGATAACTTGCCTTAGGAGATTTTCTCTTGGTGTTCTCCCTCCTCTGTGTATATGAAAGTTGCATTCTATCCAGAGACACCAAATAGTGATAGAAATAATGGACATCCAAACATTTTTCATTCCATTGGACTTGAAGCGGAGCTTGAGCCATCTGGTCAACATTGTGATTGCTGATTGCTCGTTCCAAATATTTTTACCAAATCTCCGAAGAATAGACCATAACAAAACCTGCTAAAAAGAATATTGCATGCTAATATGGTCAGTAGATTCGTTCTCCTGGAGGCAGAGCGGGCATCTGTTCTCCACCTGCAGGCCTCTTGATCGAAGCAATCTGGTGATAGGTAATCTGCATGAGGAGAGAGCCAGCTGACTTGCGGATCTGATCCCATGCATGCCCAACTGAGAAAACACCATCCGCAGAATTATCAAATAGCAAGCACATGATAGCAAGCACATGATAGCAAGCACATGGGATTGCACCTCCTCCCAAACATGGATAAGGGGACTCGAAGAGGGGGTTGGTGGGGACCACCTTTGGGTTGAGCCTTCTATATAATCTGACACTTTATTACCGGCCAGAGCTCCCAGGTCCTCATGGACGTTTATTCCATACTACTCCCATATAGATCTCTCTGATAGCCATGGGTCGGCCTAAAAATCAATTAGTTTACCATCACCTACCAACCATTTTACATTATTACGCAACCTGTTAAGACCCAAAGAAATACCTTTCTAGGCATGCGAGCCGCTTTTAGCCCAAGTGAACCAGATTGATGTTTTACGAAAATATATGTGCTTAAAAAAACGAGTCAAAAGGGAAGATGGGCTATAAATAATTCTCCATGCTATCTTGCTATTAGCTACCTAGAAAGTAAACAATCAACAACTATACTGTCAAACTGTTTCTGGCTCTGATTTACTTACTAATTTGCATCACATTTTTGATAAACTCTGCTATGATATGCTAAGAAATCATCATGCTGCCTATCCATTTTAAAATAAATAATTATCCATTATGTAGGGATTCAGGAATCGAACTGTGCAGGGCCAAGCTTGAGTCTGCCGGTATGACTCTGGCGAGTCTCAACAAGACTTGGCTGAGTCCATGAAAAATTAATAAAATAACCTCGGGAACCCATGAGACTTGTCCAGTTCTTGAGGTTTTTCAATGGGACTGGTCACCCTGCCCATTTACATAACTTAGGCAAAACAGAGTCAAGCTCGCCAAGCTTTAGAACACTGTGAAGTATATACAGGTGACAGCTACATTTAAAAAAATATTAGGACCTCTTGTGCTTTCTAGTAGTAGTCATCAAATTTTAATTCTTAGTCACCATTAGTGTCGAAGTCCCATAAAGATGTATTAGTGTAACTTTTAGGTTATTTAATTGTGGTTCTATGTTCATTTCAGATTTTGTCTTGGCCTCTAGGGCCTCGTCTTATGAAGGGAGAGTACTCTCCTGGTACTTGAAAAAACAATTTAAGTGCATCTACTCTGTTTTCCCTTTGCTATATGTCTCCCAGCTAAGATCTTCTCTTCTGCGCCCTCAATTGATCGACACAAATATTAAACCATGGTAAAAGAAATTGCAGAATGACAAATGTGTGGAATCCTTATTCTTGAGAAAACAGCAATCTGAATGGCCTAATTGATATACGATACATCAAAGTTCAAAATTGAGGCCCTCTGGAGGATTTGACAGAAGTTCCACTTGTACTTACCTTAACCGAGAGATATTTTGTCCTAAACTCCAGTCATTAGTCTGAATTTATAGCCCAACTGCAGGTTTTAAAGGATCTTCCTATCCTAAAAAGAGGCTGGAAGGCTTTTTAAGAATAAAATGAACTGAACAATTGTGAAGAATTATCCTTTTTGCAAATAAGTGATAACCATAAGCACATGCAGGCTTGTGCATGAAAATAAATGATTTGTACAGCAAATCAAACATATGATCGGGAGTCTCGTTGCTGCCAAGCATCCTGCAAGGAATCTATGAAGAAATATGCAAGATGCTTTAACTAAGTTATGAGAACTACACATTTGATATGTATGATCCAAATTTTGGCCAAACTATAGTGAGCTAGTCTTGCTATCTATGTGTTCTCCAAGTCAAATTTGAAAGAATCTGTCATGGAACAGATATAAGAACTATGTATTGGATATATATGAGCTTGAACATTTGTTCAGAATCAAATGAACACATTAAAATGGCTGTATCCTTCCTGACTCTGAGAATTTGATCCATCAAAACTAAATGAGTTCTATAAACACATGAAACAGAAGCTTAAAAGAAACTTATGTTACTCCAAATCTTCCCCATTTTTATCAAGTTTGATCTCTGCAGACTTGCGTCTACATTTGAATGAGCTAAATTCGAATTTTAAGATGAATCAACAGCTAAGTAATCAATTTGAGGGATAGCTTTAGATAGGGGAAGTTTGACATCATAAGTGAACATGCCTTTGTTGATTCTTGTTCAATTTCAATGATTTCTTGTCAATTGCCAGAACACCTTAAGGGTTGGTTGCAGATTTAGGTCAGGGCTTGGAATTTATTGTAAGGGAATTGTGGAGGATTGCTTTGGCCATGATTTGCGGCATTGTGCATGACTTTTCTCTATATTCCCCCTTATGGATACTAGCACCTTGTTTGGCTGCGAGATATGTTTTGGTTAATGACAGTTTTGATGTCCAACAAAATGCAGCATTTTGCAAGTATGAAGAAAGCTGGTTTATTCAATTTTCTTCGCTGTCACAAAACTTTGGAGTTTTTTATGTGCACCTGTACCTAAATGGGGTTCTAAAATGGCAGTCAAAGAAGCCACTCAAACACAAATTCGCTGTCACACATCGTGGGGCTCCAACAGCACCTAAACATGTTTTGGGACAGCATCCAGACAAGAGCTAAGATCATTCAAGCTATGTTCCCATGGGCATTAGATCACTTAATCTCTGTATGCCACAAAAGGATGGGTTTAGGACTTCAGATTGCCTTTTTGGGGTGATTTTGAATTCTGTATGTGTGCGTCCGGGTACTCGCTTGTGTGCATGCGTGCACGCACGTGTGTGTTTATAGGCTTCTGGCTACTATTATGATTTTCCATGTCCATAAAGGACTAATTTTAGGTTTATGATTTTTCATGTCATAAAGGGCTAGTGTTTCTTGCTAGTGTGTATTTCTATTTCTCTTTGGTTTCAAATGAGGTTTCATTAATTTATTTGGAAAAACCATAATTTATATTGTTATGCCAAGTTGAGGGCATAACCTAAAATAAACAATATTAACTTTTTGGTGAAAACACTTGAAATTTGGTTGAGAGTCGAGCTCTGGAGTTGGACTTGGTGAGTCTCTTTGAGTATTGAGTACTCTCATGATGGGTTCCTCGGAGTTTCTGCTTGCTGTTAAAAAGATGTCAATATGACTAAAAGGATGGTTTTGATCATTTTGAGGCCATAAAAAGGAATATGTACAATGAAAAAGAAGCTATTTAGTAAGAACTAGTGTCTCTAGAGGTATTTCTGAAGCATAATTTTGAAGGAAAAACTACCTATGGATGAGTTGTACATTTCTACAGCATTGATGGAAATCTTGAAAACCATGTTAGGTGGATCAAGCACTTGATTTTTTGCAAATAACTACTGATTTATCTTGTGATCAATTCCTGAAAAAAATAAATTATAAATTTTTCAGCTCTTAAAACTGTAAATCTATTCACCAACAAATGATCGTTCAGATTTGTAATTTGACCACTAGCAGCGGTGCAACAAATGGATGGTATTTGGGGGTCCATCAATGCTGTAGAAGTTGACAACCCCATTCATACAAAATTTTCCCACTTTTGAATGTTGACCTTTGTATCAGCTTGATATGATTATGCACATTAAGATGAGCCCAAGGTCTTCTAGAATTTTGGTTATAAATTCCAGATTAAATTTGAGTTTAAGCATGGTTTAGAGTTTCTGGGGCATTTGGGAAATCAATAGCCCTTAGGATCTGGTCGAAGATTTCCCGGTTTTGCTTGGGATTTTGAGACTCGGTCTTTATACGAGCTTGAGAAGGGTTTCTGAGGATTCAGGAAGCAGTTGATTTCTATTTACCATCTTTAAACAGAACAAGCAAAAAAAGGGAGAAGATTGTTTAGATATGTTCCCTTTTCATCACTTTTGCATTAATAACATAGTTTTCAAGTTTAATATTCAGTAAAAAGTATATCATTTTCAGGTGTTGTGTGAGCACCTCATGCGAGTTTTATCTTGGGCCACGCATGCTAATTATTATTGCTTCTGGTTTTCAAGTTGAATATTCTGTAAAAATTACATCATTTTCAGGTGTTGTATGAGCATTTCATACCAGTTCTGCAATAACTCTTTGTTTTGGGCCCTGTGTGCTAATTATTATTGCATCTGGTGTTTAGTTTGTTTTAACAAGTTCAAAACCAATGTCTATCTCATTCTTTAAGTCTTCTCTAAAGCTGTGTATAAGAGTCTAATTATTCTTCATCATTAGGGTATGTTTTTAGTATTTTGCGATAAAATAGTATGTCTGTTGCGAACAAGTTTATGGACCAGAACTTTTTTATTCGTCTTTGAGATTTTATCCAAAAAAAAATAAAAACAAATAGAAAAAGGAAATTTTTCTTTGAGATGAAATATTCTGTTTATTAATTCGTGCTCGTTACACTGCCAGGGAAAGGACCAGAGCAAGAATTCAACTTACTTGCCCATGGTTTCTATTTTAGAACCCGAGGATTCCATTACAGCCATGGATTACCTTATAGAGAAGGAGGCATTGATAGTGGGGACATCACATGGGTACATATTGCTGCTTACCGTGGACTCTGATGAGACAACTGAAGTTGTTGGCAGGGTAGAAGGTGGTGTCAAGAGCATTTGTTGCAGTCCAGATGGAGCTGTTCTCAGTGTTGCAGCTGGCAATGGACAGTTACTGGTTATGACCCAAGATTGGGATGTGCTTTATGAAACCATGCTTGAACATCCTCAGAAAACGGATGTATGTAGTTGTATATTGAACAGTTTTTACACTTACATTGCGGTGTTCATAGTTACAGGCAAATTGGTTTTCTTTTTCTTTAATTAATCAGTTTATGGTCATGTAAGGTGCAGACTGCTTTTCTTTTGAGGCCATTGTACTTGCATTTTGAAGCAACATTTCTTTAACAGATCTGAGTGTTCCAATGTGGGTCTCAAATAGTTCAGACTGAACTTCAAAGTTTGGATCTGCTATATGTAATTTTTAAGGTTGACATGTCTGAAAAATGAGGAAATGATGGAGAAGATGATAAAAGAAATAAGAAAAGCTTTCCAAATGTGCAATTTCAACTGTTTTTTTCTTGGAATAAGGGTTATGACTCATCATCATCATCATTTTAGCTTTTTCCCAATTAATTGGGGTCGGCTACATGAATCCTGGTTCCCCATTGTGATCTATTATAGGCCATATCCTCAGTGAGGCCATTAGTTCCTATATTTTTTCGGACTACTTCCAACCACGTCCATTGGGGCCTACCCCCTTGCCCCATTCTGTCCTTCCACTTGAACTAACTCGCACTTCCTAATAGATGCTGTACTTGATTGGCGCCACACATGGCCAGCCCACCAAAGTCTCCTCTCTCTCATTTATTGTCTATTGGTGCCATGCCTAAATTCTCTCGAATAGATTCATTTAGAATTCTATCTCTTCTTGTCTTGCCACTCATCCATCTCAACATCCTCATCTCTACTACACTCATTCTATGGGTATTGTTTTTTGTCCACCCAACGGAATAAGGCCTATGACTAAGATATCTAAAATGCCTAGAGCATTCAAGTTGTTTTCCTTTACTGCCAAAGTGCCACTTTCTTTTCAAATATTACCATCTGTCCACTGGAGCGGTGATATTATGCAAATGCTTATTCTCTTTATTTTCTCTTAGTAACTCTTAGAGTGTCCCAAGAAATAAATACAAGCATCCAATATGCTTCTTTCTCTGTTATTTGATTTATGTGTGATAGCATGTATGTATGTATGATTCATTTATACAGTTTGTGATTATTTGTTCTATCTAGATTTCAGGAAAGGCATATGTTGATGTTACTGATGGCTCCACAGATTCAACAGAAATTCAAGTATCTTGGCGAGGAGACGGTAAGTACTTTGCCTCTCTAACTGGATCAAAGGATTCCTCTTCCTTGCAACAAGTAAAGATATGGGAAAGAGAGACTGGGTCCCTTCATTCTTCTTCAGAATACAAGGCTTTCATGGGAGCATGCTTGGATTGGATGCCTACTGGCGTGAAAGTGGCTGCTGCATATGATAGAAAGGCTGACGATAAGTGTGCTCTGATTGTTTTTTTCGAAAGAAATGGTTTGGAAAGAGGCTCCTTTAGTATTGATGATCCAAAAGAATCGACAATTGAGATGCTGAAGTGGAATTGCAGTTCTGAGCTTCTTGCTGCTCTTATCAGGTGTGAAGGGCATGACAGTATTAAAATTTGGTCATTTAGCAATAACCACTGGTATCTAAAACAAGAATTGAGATACCCAAAAAGAGATAGGGTAAAATTTTTCTGGGACCCCACAAAGCCATTGCATCTGATTTCTTGGACTTTGTTGGCAAAGATCGCAAGTTACAATTTCATCTGGGTAACTTCCGTTTCAGATAATGCTGTTGCATTGGTGATTGATAGTGCTAATGTTCTCTTGTCTCCTCTCTGTCTATCACTTATTCCACCTCCTTTCTCTCTCTTCAACTTGAAGTTTCCGTGTTCTGTTCAAGACAAGAGTTTCTTTTGTAAGGATTCCAAGAGCTGTTTAGCTGTGAGCATGTCAGATGGCAATTTGGGTGTGGTGGAGCTTCCCGTAATGGATGTTTGGGAAGAGATGGAAAACAAAGTATTTCCTGTTGATACTTGTTGCTCTGATACAATCATCGGCACTCTCAGGCATCTTACTTGGTTGGACTCTCACGTTCTTCTTGGGGTTTTACACTCTGAGTCCAGTGAGCCCAATTCAAGTATTGAATTTTCATCCATGGAAAATAATGGGATCTCTCTTTCTCAGGGACAAGAACATTCTTTTGGTTATTCCTTGCAAGAGATTGAGCTAGTTTGTTCAGAGAACTCTGTCTCCAACTTAGTCACTTCTTCAAACTGGCAGGCTAAGATCATCCAGCGAATATTTTTGAAAAGGTCAATAGTTGCTATTGTGCCCAATCCCTTATCAAAATGCTCAGCTTTTATACAGTTTGATGGGGGATTCCTTGCAGAATATTCTTCAAAATCAGGAATGAAAATGGCTTCCCGGGAGATATTAAAGGGATTTCCATCAACATGCCCATGGATGAATGCCATCCCTGTTTCTGATAATGGCACACTGAAACACTTAATTTTTGGCTTGGACCTTGATGGGAGGCTTTATGTGAATGACAAAATATTGTGTGAAAATTGCACTAGTTTCTCTTTTTATTCTAGTGCTTCAGGAATCATGCAACAGGTTGTGACCCACATTGTCTTCACCACGAAGCATGACTTTCTCTACGTCATGGCTATGGATGAATTGTTATCTCTCGAAAGCCATGGCCATGGAAGTAACAAAATATATGAAGTTGGGGATCAAGATGGGATAAAGATTTGGGAAAGAGGTGCAAAAGTGATTGGGGTTATAGATGGGGATGAAGCAGCCATAATTATACAAACTCTTAGGGGTAACTTAGAATGCATCTACCCAAGAAAACTGGTCCTCTTAGCAACTGTTAATGCTTTAGTTGAAGGGCGCTTCAAAGATGCCATGCTCATGGTTAGACGACAGAGACTCGATTTCAATATCATTGTTGATTATTGTGGTTGGCAAGAATTTCTCCAAAAAGCAGTAGAATTTGTCAAACAAGTGAATAATCTTAGCCATATCACAGACTTTATTTGCTCTATAAAGAATGAAAATGTCATGGGTTCCCTTTACAAGAATGCTCTACTTCCCCTTTACCCCCCAGGGAGTAAAACAGTGGATGTAGAAGATTCTAAGGTTGAGAGTGTAAATAACAAAGTGACTTCTGTTCTTGAGGCCATCCAATTGGCCCTTGAAGAACAACTGCCTGAGAGCCCCACAAGGGAGCTTTGCATATTGACCACTTTAGCTCGTAGGCTACCCCCTGCCCTTGAAGAAGCATTGAAGAGGATTAAAAAGATTCGAGAAATGGAATTGTCAGCATCTTTAGATGAGATTGGGAGTGCTCAAAGAAAATCTCTTCCTTCTGCAGAAGAAGCTTTAAAGCATCTTTTATGGTTGTCTGATTCAGATGCTGTTTTCGAAGCTGCATTAGGCCTCTATGATCTGAATCTTGCAGCCATTGTCGCATTAAACTCTCAGAGGGACCCAAAGGAATTTCTTCCCTTCCTTAAGGAGCTTGAAAGCATGCCTCCTGCTCTTATGCTGTATACAATTGATCTTAGGCTACACAGGTTTGAGAAGGCGCTTGGAAATATCATCTCAGCTGGTGATGCTTACTTTGAGGATTGCTTAAACCTCATAAGAAACAACCCCAAACTGTTTCCCCTTGCTCTTCAACTTTTCACTGATTTATCCAATCGAAAAAAGGTTTTCGAAGCCTGGGGTGATCATTTAAGTCGTGAAGAATTCTTCGAGGATGCAGCTATGGCTTATTTGGGTTGTTTGAATTTGGAAAAGGCCTTGAAAGCCTATCGCGCTTGTGGAAATTGGAGGGGTTTGCTTGCAGTTGCTGGGTTGCTAAAACTTGGGGAAGAAGAGATTCTACAGCTAGCAAAGGAACTATGTGAAGAGCTTCAAGCAATGGGAAAACCAGCAGAGGCTGCCAAAATTGCTGTGGAGTATTGTGGGGACATTCAGAGTGGGGTTGGCTATTTTGTAGCAGCAAGGGAGTGGAATGAAGCTCTGAGAATTGGGTTTCTTCATAAGAGAGAAGATTTATTAATGGAGGTTAAGAATGCCGCTCTTGAATGTGCAAGCTCACTTGTATCAGAGTATGTGGAGGGAGTGGAGAAAGTGGGTAAATACTTAACCCGTTACCTAGCTGTTCGGCAGAGAAGGTTGGCTCTCGCTGTGAAATTGCAATTGGAGGGAAGATCAGCTGATGATGATGATATTGATGACAATGCTTCAGAAACCAGTAGCAGTTTCAGTGGAATGAGTGCTTATACTCTGAGGTACCGTATCCTTTCTCTTATGACAGTCTTCTTCCTATACGATATTTCTCAGTGAAAGTACCAACAATTACTGGAGCACCTGTGTAAATGCCCAGGTGTGCTAGAAACATGGGCTCTCAAACTCTCAAACATGTGCCTGGATATTTTCCTGTATTGATATGTTAACGCTTTACTAATAGGACCACTGATAGTTTTTTCTAAAGAAACCTGCCGTAAATTAGCCATCTAGAAAAGAAATTACTGGTCCAGTCACTGTTTTTGAGATTCCAAATTTCTGGGTGCCTGCCCCATTTATACACTTGTTTCATGCAATCTTTTGATATTTTCCCTTCATTTTGTGAATGACTTGCATCCACTGTCCATAGCACATTTAATAGAAGGCTCTATGGGTAACATGCTGTGATAGGATTGGCTTCACAGTACAAATTTTGATTCGTCCAAATTGTTAGATTTTTAATAGGCATGCTTGTATCTGAGCCGAAGGGTCTGAGGAAGTATGTGCCCCACAGAGCGGGTTTGTTAGTTTTGAGACACCTACTGAAACCTTTTTGGGGGGGTGTTTTTGCATTTAAACCCACACCGAGGAGAATCCAGTACCAATTTGCTTTGGGACACGTTTTTGTTTCGTTATCTAATTGTTTGTTCTCATGGTTTTCTTTCTACCTACTTGTATGGAATAGTGCTTTAATGTTTGCTGTATGCATATTTATATATCCTTTAAAAAAAAAAAAAGGAGGTCTACCTTGTGAGTGACTAGGATTGCATCATTCAATGTTAGTGATCCCTCATTTCTAGTCGCTAACTCACTCATTAGTTCAACCTCTTTTTTTTTTTGTTAATCTATTAATGTTTATATTAAAAGGAAAAAGTATACAAGTTAAAAAAAATGGCAGCCTGCAGACTGGGTGCAGCATATATTGGTGGGCTATACAAAAAAAAAAAAAAGTTTTACATTCAGTTCCTTAACACAAAGTCGGGAACCAGGAGCTAAAAAAGGTGCCAAAATGGTACCAAGTGGGTCGTTTTGACTGGTTCCTTCTTTAGTGAGTTCATCTAGTGCTGTGTTGGCCTTGCACCATATATGCTTCCAAGCAACATGTGTATCTCTGCAAAGGTGGAGTATTTTGTCAAAAATGTGTAGTCTGCAAGAGTGGTCCGAGAGTCCAGAAGCCCATGAAATAACCTTTTTAGGGTCTCCCTCGATGAGCAATACAGTGCTCCAGCTAGGATTGAAATTCTTGAGACCTTCGAGCAAGGCAAGGGCCTCCACGATATTGCAGTCAGCATTGCAGAAGGAATATTGTGTCTGTCCTTTGTGGATGCCTCCGATCCCTGCGGGCCTCGGGTTGCCTAGAAAGCAACAGTCGAAGTTGAGTTTTGTCTGGCCAGGTTCGGGGGGTCTCCACAGAGAAGAGCGAGGGATGCAGGTAGGTCATAAGTGCAGCAAGGCCTGCCAATTTTGGTGGAAGTCGATGTAAAAGTGCTTGAAATATTTGTGGTTTTTGCCTTAAAGATGACAAGGTTTTCGATCCGGTCCTGCAGGGCCTCCTTTGTAGCTCCTCCTCCTGGAAGATTCGGTTGTTTCTCTCTGTCCAAATTACCCAAAGTGTGGCTGCGACTAAGGCCCGCCAGTGTAAAATACTGGACTTTGACCAAGGGGGTAGGAATGAGGAGCTGAAGAGGTGTGGAACCGATTTTGAGGTTGTCCATGACCAGTTGGGAAGTTGCAGTAGGTCAACCCAAAGTGTCAAGACCACATTGCAATGGATACAGAGGTGGGAGTTGGACTCTTCATTTTCTGTGCACATCGTATATCTAGTCGAAATGGGGACACTATTTTGAAGCTGGTCCACCTTCAAAGATCTTTCCGATAGGAGGGAGGAAAAAGTAAGGAAATCTCCCAATTCGTTGTTGGTAAGGGGTAAGTGGCCTCCTAAATTGGGATTCCAAATTCTAGAGGCCCCCAAGGTGTTAAAGTGGTCTACGACTGTGGCCTGTCCATTGAGAGCAAGGAGGAAGAGGTTGGGGAAAAGCTCTTGTAGGGGGCTGTTGCCAATCCAAATGTCTGACCAGCATTTAACTCGGTTGCCACCCCGGGATCGAAATCTAATGTTCTCTTTGAATAGGCTCGACGGAGTATGGATCTCCAAGCTCCAAAAGGTCAGCTGTCGCTCCTATAAGATGGAGGCAGCTAGTATTCAGGTGGTATTTGTGGTGGAATACCTCCTACCACAAATGGTATTCTTGGGTTGCCAGGCGCCACCACCACTTCTCTAAGGGGGCGATTGTTTCTTTTGAGCTTGTGGATCCTTAGCACCCCCAAGCGTTTTTGGTGACATACTTTCTCTTAGGAAAAAATGAGGTGGTATTTGTTGCTCTCCCCTTCACCCAACCAAAGGAAGTTCCTCATGAGCTGTTCGAGGCGGTTGGCAATTGCGGAAGGCATATGGAATAAAGACATTTGGAAGATGGGGATGTTGGAGAGGCTTGCTTTGATAAGGGTGATTCTTCCTGCTGAGGAGAGGAAGTGACCCTTCCAACCTACAAGCTTCCTATCAAATTTGTCTACGATGTAGCTCCAAAGCCTCTGTTTTTGCTTGTGATGCAGAGGGGCAGGCCCAGATAGGTGGAAGGTAGAGAGTCTACTTCACATCCCCACCGGCTTGCAAGGTTGCTAATTGATCGGCTCTCAGATCATCTTGGATTTGGCCATATTCACCCTGAAGCTGGTGGCCAACTCGAAACATTTTAGGAACAAGAGAAGGAAATCAACCTGCTGAGTGGTTGCTCCATAGAAAAGAAGGTTGTCATCAACATATTGAAGATGGGAGATACTTGGGTCATGGTTCCTGATATTGAAGCCTTCCAACAGCCCATGTTGGTACATCCTAGTGATGAATCGACTAAAGACTTTAGTTACTATAGCGAAAAAGGAAGGGGGAAAGGGGGTCTCCTTGCCTAAGGCCACTAGAGGAGGGGAAGAAACCTTTGGGGTAACTATTGATAAGGACAGAGAAAAGGGGTTTGAGATGCAATCTTGAATCTAGGCCCTCTAACGAGTGCCAAAGCCCATTTTGTGAAGAGTTTCCTATAGGATGCCCCAATCGATATGGTTGTAAGCCTTCTCCCAATCTAACTTTATGACCATGCCCGACACCTTTGAGAGGTGTCAAGAGTGGATGCCTTCATGGGCCACTAATACTCCATCGAGGACTTATCGATCCTTGATAAAAGCACTCTTAGTGAGGGGATATGACCCAACCGAGAACCTCCCTAAGTTTGGATGCAAGGACCTTGGAGAGGATTTTGTAAGAGATATTGATTAGACTAATTGGTATGAAATCCTTAAGTTCCTCGGCTCCTTCAACCTTGGGGATGAGGGCGATAAAAGTTGCATTCATAGCCTTATGGATGTCCCGTTGGTTGTGAAACTTCTCAAACAAGGAGAGCATGTCAGGTTGAATAAACTCCCAGAATGTTTTGAAAAGGGCAAACGGGTAGCCATCGGGCGCTGCGGCCCAATCCTATCCTAGGTCAGAGATTGCCTTGAGGATTTCCTCTTTGGAGAATGAACGCTGTAGCCAAACCGATTTCTTGGGCGGGATGGGATGGAAGGAAAGGTCGTCCATCGTGGGCTTGGGCTCGGGATGGGCCGAGAAGAGCTATCTGAAAATTTAATGATTGAGTCCTCCACGAGTTGGGGTTGGTGGACAAGCTCCTCGACCTTGATTTGGGTATGGTGTTATGTCACCTTCTGCAGTTTGCGATTTTGTGGAAGAAAGCGGTATTAAGATTTTTGGCTTTCAACCTTTTTACTTTGAAGCGTTGGCACCAATAGATTTCTTCCTTTTTGAGAAGAAGTTGGTATTGGATTTTGAGTTGGGATCTCTGGTGTCTTTCTTTTGAGGAGAGGGCCCTATTTTCCTGAGTAAGGTCTCGGTCTTTTATGGACTGGTGCAACTATTCTTTCTGGGTTTTGAAGTTGCCTGGGAGTTGGCTACTTCAGGTTTTGAGAGAAGCTTTGAGGAGTTGCAATTTTCATTGAAGGCGAAAGCGAGCCCAACCATGAGCTTGGTTCGAGAAGGACTCCCACCAAGATGGGTTCAAGGATTGGAGATTGAGCTTCTCAAGCTAAGTTAATTCAAAGCGAAAGGGTTTTTACCCTCTTGAGGTAGGCTGGCTATCGAGGAGGATGGGTCAGTGGTTGAAAGTGGGTTTGGGGAGAGCAAGGGCACGGGAGCCATAGAAAGAAGCATCCCAGTCGAAACTGGTGAGGTAGCGATCGATTTTGGAGAGTGCTCAGGGGAGTGGTTTAACTAGGTGAAATTAGCTCCTTGGAGTGGGAGGTCAATGAGGTTATTCCTAGAAGATGAAGTTGGAGAAGTGTAACATACTTTGGGTGACTGTAGGTTAATTACATTCGAAGCACCTGGTGACATTGTAGTCACCACCTAGGCACCGTGTTGATGGGGCTAGAGAAGCTACCCCATCAAGTTCCTCCCAAAGTTGATCCCCTATGCTAGCTGAGTTAGAGCCGTATACAGTAGTGAACTTCCAAGGCAAACCGTCAGATATTCTAGTGAAGGCCATTGTGACGGAGGAGGTGGCCACATGAGAGGAGTAGAGGGAGTGAATGGATGGATCCCAAATTACCCAGATGCGTTCTGAAGCCCCTTGGGCTACAAGAGCTACCAATTGATAGGGCCTCATGCCCTAGACCTGATGGATTTGGTTGAGGGAAGGTGAAGGGAGTTTGGTTGCGATGATGGCTGAAGCCGTAAGAAGCTATTTGAGGCAGAAGTCTCCGGCTAGTGTTTGTGGGGGTAGCCTAGGCCACGGATGTTCCAAGTAAGTAGTTTCAAGACTAATGGTTGTAGGAGGCGGCGTGCCTTGGAGAAGACTGAGAAGTTGATGAGCCAGGGTGCCTGAGCCAGTAGGGGGAACGGTAGTAGACGAGTGCTCTGCCAGGTCGTAGCGAACCTCAAAAGCGAGCTTAGAGAACTCCCTTGTGCCTTTTGGACTTACTTTGAATCTAGTTTGAGTGTTGTTTTGAAGAAGGGCCTTGATATCACCCTCTGGTATATTGTATTGGAATCCCATCACTTTGAGCACCTGATGACTATTTCCTTGAGCGAGGTGCATCCCATCGACGAAGCTTGAGCCCACCGAGGTTATGGAACCCGAATGAGATGTCGTGGAGGAATTAAAAGGGGATTTAGGGGTGCTATGGCAAGGAGGGAAGGGAAGGCTGGCCCCTTCTCTTGAGGTTTGCAGGCTGTACCACTCAGGTGGGGTGAAACGGGAATCTGTAGCGGGGAGGGAGGGGGAGGGGAAGGGACGGGGAGGGAGGGGGAGGGGGACGGGGAGGGGGGGGGGATGGGTTTGGGAGAAATAGTAATAGTGGGAGAGATGTGTGAAGATGGCTGGATTTGGGGAGCCGGAAGGATAGTGACCCTGTGATGTGTGTGCCAAGATGATGGAGTAAGGATAACTTTCAAGGGAGGCGAATTAAAGAAGCTAGGGTTTGGGTGTGTTAAGGGATGGGGAATAGGGACATAGTTGGGGGGGGAAGACAGGTATGGATAAAAAGCCTGGTGGGGGGGGGGGGGGGGGGGGGTGTTGTGGCTGGGAGGGAGGGAAGATTAGGGAAAGACAAATTGAGGGGGCACCTAGGAGAGGGAAAAGGGGGAGGGTAGGCGAAGCTGCCGCTATGGGTTCCCAAGAAGAGAGAGGGATAAGGGAGGAGGGGACAGTTGAAAGGATGCATGATGGGTAGCTTGTGAGCTGATGGGTTGGGTAGGGGAAAGGCCATTTAGGGGGGATAGATAGCTGTAGGGATGGGAGGTGCTAGCCATTGAGAAGGCTGGGTGGTTGGGTGCTCAGGAGAGATAGGTGTAGCTGGGATAAGGGGTTGAAGGGCTTGGTGGAGGCCCATGGGGAGGGGTAGCGATGGTTGATGAGGGAGAGGGGATGGAGTCGACAATAGAGGTAGAAGGGGGGAGGTGGGGTGTGAAATGAGGGACAAAGGATAGGGGCAGGCGAGAGGTGGGTTGCGGGGGGAAAAGAGGAAGGGGTCATGGCCGTCGGATGGAAGGGGGGGGGGGGGGTATGACAATCAAGGATGAGAGAGAGGCTAACTCTGGATGATGTGGTGGGAGAGATGGGGGCTGGTATGGATGGCGAAATGATGGGGGTGGTCATAGGAGACGTGGAGGGCTGAGAGGGAATGGAGGTTTGCAGACCTAGATCCAATGGTGGAGCCAAGTCTGGAGGGAGAATAGGGGAGATTGGGTTGGTGTTGATGGGGCTTGGCAGAAGGTTAGGTTGGGGTGGGGCGGATTGAGTCAGTGGGGAGGAGAGGAGGCATAGGGCTCAAGAGTGAGGGAGTGACATCTGGTGACCTGTCACAGGAAGGTGGGGTGGTGGCCACATGACCAGGCGGCGGAGGGGAGGCGATGGTTCAATTAGAGGGATCTGGCCACGTGGGGAGATGATGGAAATGACGGGGCCAGGAGAGGGTTGAGTGGCACGTGAAGTGGGCAAGGTGCTGTTCGTATGAGGGGGCTGCAGGATGGAGGCCATGTGGAGGAAGGGGAGGGGGAGTGTCATGTGAGGGCAGAAGGGATCTGCGTTCGAGAAGGGACATGGAGGGATGGGTTTGGGGAGAGGGTCTGGGCTGTCACATGGGTTTTGGAAGGGGGTGATGTGGGAGAGGAAAGGTGGGAGAGAGGCAGCTGCCTGGGGGCAGTGAGGGGGCTGACATCAGCCCTCGCGTGATTCAGCAGGGAGGTTGGGAGGGGGGACAGCGGAAGGGAAGGGCGGCTGCCTGAGTTCGTGGGCTGGAGGAGTCCAACAGGACCCGTCCGATTGAAATTTCAACAGTTACGATGGGCGACCCGTCGTCTTCTGTGAGCCACAAAGGTCCGGCGATTGTGGTCTGCCCTGCGCTCCCAGGGCCTTGGGGCCATTACACAACTCACGTCCATGAGGTTGGGAAAGGGGTGAGGCCTCTAACCAGGCCATATGAATGCAAAAAAGGACTCCTCTGATTTTAAGCCACAGCGTGGGAGGTATGAGATTAGGGTTCACAGTTTCGATCAGCAACTGGATAGTGCCCAGGGTGAGAAACTCGGACGACTTCCAGTGTACAGATATGAAGTCCCCGCATGCATCTCCAATGAGTTTGAGGGTGCTGGGGTGTCTGGCATGGAGGGGAATGTGAGTCACCTGAGCCAAAATTTATGTTTGCGAGATGTTCCCATCCCCGGCCTCCAACGCTCCAGGAACAAGGGGGCTTCTTTGAACTGAGATCGACTTCCTTGCAACATTCTGAGAGCACTACCTTCTGAAAGGAAGTGAGGAGGATAGCACCATTAGTTTCCGACCTCTTAATCCCTTTGGGGTCAAGAATTCTACTTTCTTAACTTAGTAAGCGGAGAAACCAAATTCTGACCTCATAATCCACTTCAAAATGTCTGTTCTTTCTGCTGCCTACTTAATTTGTAATTTGTGTTCTGTTTTACTTAATTGATAAGTTTGGATTTCAAATTAGCAGGAAGAAACCATGTTGTCTATACTTTCAAGTTTGAAAATCTTCTTTAAAAATTAGCGTTGTAAACATAATTCACTGCTTTTCTAATAATTCACTGAAAGCATTCTATTGCTGGTACCTCTAGAAACACTAATTCTAAGGGGTTAGTATCATCATTTGGAATTCTGCAAGAGAAGTTAATTGGGATATTCTCTGATACCTTATATCGCAAATTTACTGTTTACAGGAAAGGTAAGGGCTCAGGCGCATCCATAAGCTCAAGTGCCGCTAGCAAGGCAAGTGAGCGGAGACGGCAGAGACATCGTGGGGGGAAAATCCGTGCCGGAAGGTGCATCTATCACTTCGTGATTACCAAAAAAAAGGAAAAAAAAAAAAAACATGCTTCTTTTTCCAGGAAGAAGGCAATTTTGTCTAAACCTAGATGCTTAGTACTGTGATACTTCTCTCTCTCTCTCTCTCTCTCTCTCTACTATATATATATATATATATATATATATAGAAGATACTACAAAATGGCTATAGGCAAAAATGAACAGTGATTTTGTCTACCCTCATCACTGTCTAAAGTTCATCGCATGGTCACAATTATTTGGTAGTGTTTCATTTTTTATTTTTTTTTACAAATTGGAATGATATGAAATTTGTATTGTGTGTTCATAAAAAATAGGTGAATCTACAAAAAATATCAAAAATATTTTTTACATGAAATAAATTGACCAAAATACCCCCAAAAAGTTTCAGGGTATTTTGGTTAATTTTGTTTTCACGAATTATTTTTCTTCTATATTTTTATTAGGTGCACCTTACTAAGATATACACACGCTCCAAATTTCAGATCATTCCGATTTGTAAAAAAAAAAATGAAAAATGAAACACTATCGGACAATCATGACCGTGCGATGAACTTTGGACGGTGATGAGGGTAGGCGAAATCACTGTTCATTGTAGCCTATAGGCGTTGGGAAGATTTTTCCATATATATATATATATCTTCAGAATCAAAATTTGCTGGAACTTATATTTATGTTTATTATAACAGTCCTGGTGAGGAGATTGCCTTAGTGGATCATTTGAAAGGCATGTTGCTGACACCTGGCGCCCAAAGTGAGCTGAGGACACTATTGAATGCTCTCTTAATGCTGGGGGAGGAAGGACCTGCTAGGAAGCTGCAATGCTCAGCTGATACCTTCCAAGTGACACAGATGGCTTCTGCTAAGCTCGTTGAAGATAGAATGCTTGATGAGAGCTTGAAAGAGGAGAATCACTCTTTGGAGCCCTATGTGCATAGAGTAAGAGCTTCAGGGTTGTATTCTGAGGCTTTCCTATGGCAGTTGAAAGTTTTGTGTCCTCCTTAGCAGGTAGTTCCTCATTTTCTGAAGGAAGTGACAATTATATCCATTTTTTATTGAGCTTTAATGTGGGTCTTTTCATTTGGCTTTTAAGGAAAAAAAAATATTTTCCTTTTGACTATTTCCATTTGTGTACAGGCCCATCTCTCCTATCTATTGAATGGTCCTACAGAAGTGTTCAGATCATCATGGTGAGTGAGGCTGTCTGCTGCTGGTAATATCCTGTGAGGTCCATTAAACCTTATCATTAAAGGAATGGAAAGTCCTATTATCTTCCCCCCTGCTACTATGGTGAAAAAGGAAAGTAACTTTTCTATTCCCACTTTCTGGAACAGCATATTGATCTTTAAATGTGAATAAAAGTTTTACAGATTTAGAACAAACATAAGAAGCATGCAATCTTTCGGAACTTAAAACCACAAAATGGAAAAATACACCACATCCTTGGGGAAGATACATTAGCTAAGGTATCCTCCTCCAAATGTCCAATGTTGTCAGATTCGCTTCAGATTCTTCTTTAGTTTGGTGATAAAAATGAAGCAATTCGGTGCTTCGGCCGATTTGGGTGAAGACTTCGGACTTTTTTTTTAAATTTAATATAAATAAAAGTAGATATTTATACTACCTGGGTGTGCTTGTGTTCACAGGAGTGAATTGTTGAACCGTTTTCTTTTTCTTGTTTAGGTGACCAGGGATCAGAATGGGCACCGTATGCTTGAATTGGAGATCGGAGAGCTGCTAACTTCTAGAGATCTTTGCTAATTGCAAAACTTGGGGGATGTGGAAAACTTGCCTCCTTAAGCTAAGCTCACCATTGATCTGTGTAGCAGCGACAGGATGAAGGAAAATTTGTTTAAGTTGCATGATTTCTCTGTGGGCACCATTTTGTGCACTATTTTGGTTTTGTGAAAATTTTGTGAAGTTGAGATGCCAATGCGTTTCAAGTTATATGGTTTAGTACTTCTGTTTAGCGACACCATTTTGATCTCTCTCTGGTTAAAAGCTCTTATTTTTCAACCCTTGGTTTTGGAGTCAAAATCCAATATGAAACATAAACACACGGACTTACGGCTTGACGGTTACGTTGTGAACAATGCATCAGGTCCTTGTTGAAATCCCTGAGCTGCGACACCACGAAAGTCAAAACGCACTTAAATTGGATTTGTTTGCCTTTTTCTAAACTCCAAGCACCCTTGCTAACCTCACGAGAAAAACGGAACACCCTTCATATCCTCATTATTATCTTCTTTGAAGTTCATGAGGAAACAATACTTTCTGTGAATCCTTAGCTTCTCTCTTATTTTTGGTACCCACTTCTAATTTCATTCTTTTTCCTTTGTACCTCTCGCTGTACATGTCTTTTTATATTTATCAATTAAAGTTATGCTGATGTTAAAAAAAGAGAAGAGATTTCCTATGAACCAGATGTACCCCGAAATTTTTCATTCGAATCGTGGGCTAAAGTCCCAAGGGACATTAAGATCCCCTTCATCAAGCCTTTAAACACTTTATTTCGAAGAAAGGCTTTGAACACTTCAAATTTCATGAACACATCTAGTTCAACAATTCTAAATGATTATGTGATCCTAAACATCAAATAAATAGACAAGTCACCTTAAAGTCTTCAAAGGCTGGTTAAGCACCCTCTTCCATGTGGGGTTAAGCACATTATACCTGGTTCGAGAACCCTATATTTTTCCTCATATGCTGAGCTATTACATAGACCTATAAAAGGAAAGAATCCACTTCTCTTGGTTATTTCTAACCAAACCTGCGAGTCTTACCGGGTGAAGGTTCTTCTAGAGCTTCCATCAAAATTAAGTTTTACCAATCTCAATGGAGGTGAGTCTTACCGGGTGAAGGTTTCTCTTCCATCAAAATTAAGTTTTACCAATATCAGTGGAGGTGGTTACCATGCATTTGGCTTCTGAGTTTTTTTTTGAACTTCTTTTATGTTTGAGATTAATTACTCTTTGGTTATCCCTCTTAAAGTTTTTCTCTTGCCAAGGCCCACTCCACTATTGTAGTGTGAGTTTTTAATTTTTTTTTACAAGAAAGAGTTCTCCATGTGACTGTGCCACTGGCATGAACCCAAGAATCTCTTCTTTCTTTCCACTCTAGGCACATCATAGCACCTATAGCTATCGTCCAAAGGAGCTTGGGATTTACCTTGCTTCGGTCTTATTGGTAGTGTAGGGGATCTATCGCAAAAGGATTAGAGATACTACGATGGCCGAAAGAGTTTATACTCTTGTAGGAGTATACTGTCTATTTACTTCCTTGTATAAAACCCAATATAGGAGTAATTTTAGGACTCTAAATTTTGATGATGTATCGTCTTCATGCTGACGTTAGTGAAAAAAATTACTGAATTGAACTTTTTATAGGACTAAAAAAAAAATGTCTTAACATTGAACAAAGGCTCTGCAATTTTTGGAAGGGCGATCTCTAAATCACAAAAAAACTTTAAAAATTATTTTTTTTTTACTTTTCAAAATAATTATCTATTGATCCTTTGGTGGTTCCCAAAATTCCAAATTGGAAAAAAATCTCCCAAGTACAATCTCTAGACTGATGGAGTACAAGTACACTATGATCCCACATGAGCATAGTATACATGCACAATACAATAATTGGTTTCCTAAAAAAGATAGCTTTCTATATGCCACTAGGTATAGGAAATTTATATACACTATTCCTCTCTCAACCGCTCGATATGAATGGACAATTCTGGCTCCAATCGTAATGTCATGCCTAACCACTATTTTATTTTTATTTTTTTTCTTGTAATTCATATTGACACCGAAATTGTGGTGTCTCTTCCCATCATAGAGTCGCACCTATAAAAATATTAAAAAATATTTTAAAATGACCAAAAATACTTTAAAATTTAGGGGTATTTTGATCATTTTGCTTTTTTTAATTTTTTTTTAAATATTTTTCTTAGGTGCACCATTGAGATGATGACACACACCAAATTTCATATCTATGTGACTTATAGAAAAATTAAAAATAAAGCACTTTGAAACTTTTGATCTAGATCAAAAAGTGAGAAGCTCACACATTATGGTCCCAATTATCCATTCAAAAGAAAAGAATGGCATATATAAATTCCCTAGGCCTAGTAGCATGTAGAAAGCTTTCCCATTACTAAAAGACCGTGATAATCCATGCATCAACCTTTAAATGATGGATGATGGATACGAGGTGATTGGATCTAACAACGGGCTCATATCTTGTTTAGGTGGGTCACACTCTTATCTCCGCTGCTGATTTCAATAGATGGTGATGACTATAGAATTACATTAGCCTTCCCCATATGGAATATTCGTCATGAGACCTTAATTCTGTATGGAAAATTTTTGTATAATGTGTTAACTTTATACTATAGAAGTAAGTAGCCCCTAAAAAATCCTCTAAAAAAGTTTGCTTTAATGTTGGAAAATCATCCGATCGATCATCTCAACATCAAGATTTATGGAGGAAAAAAAAAAAAGATTTAAAGTCTTAGAAATAATGCATCTTATAAAACATTATTTTGACCGTCCTTTTTCAAGATTTTAAAATGTTCATAAATCGACTCGATCTACACTATTTTTGAAGCTTTATGTTTTATATTTAGGGGTGACAAGTTTCCAAGCTATCACATAAATTTTTGACACCAAAACTACATCTTTAAACATAGTTTGGAGACGCACCTTACTTGATACGTTATACAAGCCACACACTCTAATTTCCATTGCTACAAAAATACATAGGAGGGAGAGGAGCAATTTATGCTAGTGAATGTTTAGGTGGGACACCAAAAATATAAAGGGCATGTGGCCCTTCTATGGTTATGCTAAACCATGGATTTCACACTTGAGAAAGTCTCGCGCCTTCCACGAGCATGCAACAAATTTGGGAGTTCAATTGGTCTAAAATTTGTACCAAAACAAACACGCCCCCTAAAAAACATGGATTTGGAAACCGCATTTATCATTGTCAAATCTCAACGGTTCAATAATGAAAACAATACGATGAGGAAGGGATTGAACGTTGATATTGAAGCCTAATGACAGGTTAGCTAATGTGGGTCCAACCTGTTGGAAGACTATCATTTACCATTATAATTATTGGGGTATAAGGTTGCAATAATTAAACCTACTTCTAAATTTTGTCATGAGATGAGATGTAATTTTGATGTAAAATTTTTTTAGGATAAACCTAAGAATTTATTTTTAGTTATAAATTTTTTAACTCTAAAAATTATTCGAATCAAGCCGATCTATAAACACATGAAAATGGACAGTTTAGATAATATTTGTGATATATCCTAATTTTGTAATTTAAACATTTTTTTTTTATATCTATATATCTTTCGATAATTAATTAAATATTTTTCAACATCAAAACAGCCTGTTTCGATGAATATTGGAACTGCACATTTCAATGCTCATAATACCTTGTCAAAATTTTTTTTTTTTGAGCTGCACTTTATTTATATCAAATAACCATTCCGTCCCCATAACCCTGACCGGGATGATATGTTTCAATATCATAACGCCACGTGTCTATTAATGGCTTTCTGTTTATAAAGAGTGGGGTTTGTATAAAGTGTCAACTTTATATTATTAAGGTATAGTGGGCCTCAAAACCATGTCGAAATTGCAGTTTCGGTGCCACAAAGCCATGAGATAATATGAAAATCTATTGTTGCTTCTAATTATAAAATTTGAAATTTCATAAATCATAATAATCAAACAGATCTATATACACTTGAAAATCCTGAAAATGAACGGTCCAGATAATATAATAGAAAATGAACTATTTTTAAGACTAAAAATCATTTTTTTTTCATGTCTATGAATCTCGAGCCTAGATGATCGATTTGGAGGTTTTACAACATTTAAACAACGTTTTTTAATTGGATTTTTAAGTGCACTTTACTCGTACGGTACACACCTTGTATAAATTTCTTCCATCAAATGGAGGTCTGAGAAGGCAATGGGTCCCGCCAAATAAAATACAAATGACCCAGATACCCCTATATTGCAACAAGGACTCGCATTGTATGCCATTTTTCTCAAAAACCAGCTCATCTCCTCTCTCTCTCTCTCAAAAACCAGTTGGTTTCCCCTCATCTCTCTCTCTCTAAATGCCAAAATAAGTAAATTTTTTTCTGAATTCTAAAGCCCAAGCTCTCCTTTATCATGTTACATGCTGCATTCTCTGCTCTGTTACACCACACCTCCAAGCTTCACATTTTCCTCATGGGGAAGCTATTTTTCGCACTTTTTTTTTAGCTCTATTTGATTATTTTCACATAATCTAATCTTTAAGAGAATGCATAACCAGTAACCTGATCAACCCAGAAGAAGAAATATAAAGAAGATGGCCATGAATTCATCAATACAATTCCCCAATAAATGAATAAAAAAAATGTGCATGAGTTGGAGACAGAAAGAGATCATGAATTCATCCGTGGAATTCTCACATAAATTAATGAAATAAATACATGTGTGAGAGAGAATAGAGAGGGATATTCTACCTCTTGCATAGTATATACAAACAGAAAGCATAAATAAGAAGAAAAAGAAAGGAACACATCCATCGAAATTACGGCTTTTAGCCACTCAAAATCAGAGAATTTCACCTCGAAAATGAGAGAGATGATGATTGGATGTCCAACAATGTTTGGTTGATTATCACTCCGCTCTAGCTCTCTTGATTTTCAGGCAAGAATTCATATTAATTCCAGCAAAAATAGACTCAAGATCACCGGAACTCACCTTGAAAAATCGATTTTCAGATATACATGATTTTCTTTTTGGAGGCCTCCGCTTCTTTGGAGCATGTGGGCAAGTCAAAATCTCCGGTATCCTATGATCTCTTGATTTTGGAGTTTGGAAACCTTCTTCTTCCTCATCTTCTCCTTCTTTCTTCTCAAATTTTGTTGCAACTGGTTTCACCACCATTATTTGGAGATTTTCTTTCGCTTTTGTTTCGTTATCATTTTCCAAAGATCTTTCGACGCCGAATTCAGATGTGGGGATCAAGCATTTGATGACGAATTCAAGAGATTTGATCTCTTCCTCTGCAATAAACAATTCTGGCTTCGACATGGGTTATTCTCAGAGTGATCAAAACGATAAAAAAATGAAAGAAAAGAGTGCAAAATTTGTACCAATGCAGCTGGGGGACGCGCTTTATATAGAGAAAACAGAGATCGCTTAATAAATTTATAAAAAGTTTTTATCATAAATTTTTTTGATTATTTAGTTTTAATTCTCCCATGAAATCTCATGGCTTTAATGGTGAGAAAAGACCATCCTACCCTTTTAACAATGACGAAAGAATCCTAACCAGCTCTAATTGCCTCAAATGAGCTTTAAGTTTCAGAGTTTACAATTATACCCCGGGGAGCAGCCAAAATTTTCAAATGGTACAGAGCCAGGGCATTTTGGTCATACTCATGGATTTATGGGTATTGGAAAAAATGTAAACCATATGGGACGCCTATGTCATTAAAGGAGTTGATTAGGACGTTTTCCTCTCCTCATAAATGTAGCTGGGATTCTCGATCGAACCAGTCTGGCCGTTTTATGACCGAAAGATCTAAACTACCCTTTTCTTTGTGTTAAATGACCATCGCTGTATTGTCATGTCCTTATCATCGAGCAAAAAATAACAAATTAACCTGGTTTTCAACAAATTTGACTATAATGCCCCTGCTGGTGAATACCCCCATACAGCTTCTTAGGTGAGGACAAACTTGTTATATACGAAGTTTCGAGGGTGGTATAGAGATTGAGGAAAAAGAACCGAGTGTTGCAGCTAATGGGGAGATTAGGGGCATTACAGTAATTAATAGCCCTGGTCTGCATCGGATGCTCGTTCCATAATCACCGGAGTATTTCAACCGACTTTGTGCTTATTATTACTACCTTATTTTACTCTCCCGCTTTTATTTATTTATTTATTTTGTTTAATTTTTTTTTATTTTTTCTTAAAAATTTTTAAGTAAAAGAAATGGATGTGTTGCCCCCCTCTTTCTCTCTCTCTTGTGTACTTGTGGCGCGCTCTCAAGTTTGGGACCGCACCTCACCTTTTGGCTCTATGGATTTCACCAATGGAAAAGGTTGGGTTCAAATCCCCAACTCTCTCTAAACCCAAAATAACCGAAAGAGAAAGAGAAAGAGAAAGAAGAGGTAAAAAGGAAAAGGTGAAAAGTTGCAGGCCGGTTTCCCTTTAATTTATGGCTTCGGCCTCTCTCTCCTCTCTTCTCTTCTCTTCTCTTGAGTTGATGCTTTGCTTCTATTTTCCTCTAACTCAATAACGTAATGCCCAAGCTTTACTTCCTATTCATGATAATCTTCTCTCTCTTATTATCTCCAACTTTTTCTCTTTCAAAAAATGTTTGATATTTCCGCGAAAGAATATTGTCTATCTACTCTCCCTTATGTAACACTCAAATCTTGGAGCGATTTTAGGAATTTCAATTTTGCAGACATTATGCCACCCCATCCCATGGTCTTCAATTTTCCAAATCTTACGCTAGGTCCAATATTTTTTGTATTTTTTATTCCAATTTTCCCCAATTCGATGTTATAAAGATCCAACACTTTATTGTTTATTTTTTATTTATTTTTTATGAATCCTTATGCAGTGGACGACCATGATGTTGGACAAACCCATTTGTGGAGCGGTCTAATATTGGAAACATTGTGCCACCCCATACTTATATGTGTGATGTTTGTATAGAGCCCAAACTCTAAATAATCAAATTAGAGGCTACCTTGAAATAATGTCGAGAAATGTGGTTTTAGTATTGGAAATCTTTGAGATAGCCATAAAATATATTTTTGTTAGGTTTGGTGCTATCCAAAATCACCCATATAAGAGAATCTTATATTATGTGGGATTGAGATTAATATTGATAAGTGTTCTAAATGAAATAGAAATCCAAAAAGGATTAGGACTCTTGGATATATCTATTTGGTTTGAGATATATGTAACATCCATATGAAGTTTCTTTTATATATATATATCTATATATATATATATATATATGAGTTGAAAATGTAGAGAATTGGTGTGCCCTATTTAGGTCACCGTATGGAAATGATGGTTCCTTTAAAGAAAGAAAGAGGCAACGCCTCTTGTGCATGAAATGCAAGATTTCCTCTTAGAGAGAAGAAAACTTCATATGGTGAGAAACATTACGATGGTGTCTCTTGTAAACTCTCGAAGATTGAGAAGCTTGTTTGTTTTGTAGAGAAATAATTCCCATAGGGATTTTGGATTGTTTTCCTTTTAATTAGAGAAAAAGTCAGTTTCTCATTGCTCTCATGTCTCTATCTAGTATTACTGGTAATAGTTGCCAGAAGTAAAGAGAATGAAGGGAGAGTGGTTTAAAAGCGGTTTGCTTGACTCAGATTTTATCGAGAATAGAGAAGTAACTCTTTGTTCCAAAATCATTATTGTAACTATTCATTGGAATAGTGGAATCCAATTTTTCATGCCTGTGGATGTAGCTCTTCTGGGTGAACCACGTAAATATTTGAGTTCTTGTGTATGAGTGTTTTATGCTTTATTTCTCATAATTTATTTACCAAAAATCAATCAATCGGGTTTAGAGCTTTCACGCACAACAATTTTCAACTTTATTTATAATTTTTAAAGCTTAAAAAATAGTGTAGATCGATAGATATATAAAAACTTGAAAATCTTGAAAATTGATGATCTAAAAATGTGTTACAAAATACTTTATTTCCAAAACTTGAAATCTATTTTTTTTCTCATGTCCATGCATCTTGATGTCGAGATGATCAATTTGAGCATTAAAACAACTTCTTCTAGTGAAATTTTTGAGGTAGGCTCTATTTTGATTATTTGGAGCCTCGGCTCTAAATAATCTTTTCTCTACTTAAACTTATAGATTAATCCGATGTCTCCACCATCAAACTAAGCATATAGACTAGTCCCTTCTTATACATTGCAATGGTGGTTAACAATAACTATATCATAATATGGAGGCCGACCTCGCCAGTATATTCATATACATATAAACTAAGGAAAAAGCTAACAATAGCTCACCTGCTATAATGAATAGTGCTATAGGTAGAATATGAACCATCAGATCTTCATCATACGGTTCAGAATGTATATCACTATTTTAATTTAATTATTTTTTTATGAACCGAGTTATAATAAAATTTTGGATATACATACTAAAACACAGGGCACACAAATAAAAAATATATAAAAAATATTCTTAGAATATAAAATGACCAAAGTACCCCTAAAAAATAGTAGAGGTATTTCGGTCATTTTAAATTCTTGAAAATAATTGTTTTATATTTTTATATGGTGCACAATAGTGTTAGGTATATACACTCAAAATTTCATACTAATCAAATTTATATAAAAAAAAATATAAAATTAAAATAGTGATGTGCATTCTGAACCGCATGATGAAGATTTGACAGCTCTCGTTCTACTTATATACTATTCATTATTGCTGACCAGCTATTGTAAGGTTTACCCATAAAATAATGTGTTGAATGTTCCTTGGTTAGTTGGCTTCCTAGGAGATTTATTCAATTTGAAATTTTGAGAACCACTTAAAAATCATTAGATGATTATTTTTAACAGAAAAATTTGCATTTTGAGTGTTTTAACACTTAGATATTAGCCTTCAAAAATTGGATGGTCCATCTTTAGACATTAGATTTTGATATGCATAGAGCGTGCAATTTGGAAAAACCTTTTTTTCTTTATTGAAATTGGTCGATGGATTGAAGAGTTTACGTGCCCAAAATTTGAAGTGCTCAAGTTACTCCTATGTTAGGTTTTATCCGACAAAGTAAATGGAAAATATATCCCCATAGGAGCATGAAATCTTTTAGCATATATATATATATATATATATATATAAAATGAAATAAAGGGTGTTAGAGATACCAGACAGTTCCAATTTGCATTAAATAAAGGGTGGTCTACAGTTGGAGATATGTCAATTCATACATTAAAAAAAAATTTATGTATAGGGTTCTCATGTTTCTAATATCAGAACACCTTAGAAATGGGGGCTGATATCTTAGGCATCGGAAATCCTTAGGATTCACATAAGCAAAGAAACGAGAAAAGGAAATTTATCAAACTACCTATGAAAGATTCACTATTTATCATTTTACACAATTCCAACTCATAATCACGTATTTTTTGATGTGTATTTTGAAATTAAATCAAACTATATGTGTAAAATATTAAATAATTAATCTCTCATAAGTATTTTGATAAATTTCTCAAAAAATAAAAGAAATATCGTAAAGTACCTTTGAAATATGAATTATTAAACATTACTCATATTGTTTAACATTATTTCGAAACACCTATGAAAAGAGGCATGAGTACGAATAGTTGTACATGTGTAAAATATTAAATTGTGCATCTTTCACTAGTATTTGATTAACTTTCTGAAAAAAAAAGAAAACAAAAAAAAACAGCAGTCTGATATTTGTATCATCAAATAGAAAGGCCAAATTTACAATGAGAAAACCAGAAAAATTATAGGACCTAGACATAAAATTTTGAAAATTTAGGACCATGCGGCAATGCTGATAGTTATTTCATGAATTCTCCAAAAAGTAATTTTTCAATATCAAAGAAAGACTGTCCAATTTTTGGAGGTCGAAATCTAAGCGTAAAAAAAAACGTAAAATTCAACCAGTGATCCTTAGTGGCTCCCAAAATTTCAGTTCCAAGAAGTCCTCCAAGTAAGTTTTTTTTTTGACTCGAGTTTTGTTCCCGAAAGAGCACAAGACTTTCCCTTCTCTATGAATGTTTGTGCCCCATATCACTGATTGCTTGCATCCATTTTTGTTCCCTCTTGATGAATCTCTAAAAGCTAAGAGGAGGTGGGCCGGGTTCACTTTTTGATTGACGAATTGGATAATATTTTAATTACCCAAAAAAAAGAATTGGATAATATTTTTCCCTTTCTCTCTCTCTCTCACACTTGATGTTGCATCGCATGCCCATGCCTCATAATTTTGCCCCCCAAATTAAAAAGTGAGGACTCTAATCATCAATCATGCCCTCGTGCCCTTGAATCATGGAAGTATCCTCACAAGGAATGGGCTTGGATGCCCGGCCCTAAACAACCCTGGGTGCCGCTAAATTGTTCGACGGTCGGGCTGCGACCTAATCTCCAGCCCGGTCGAGCCTGACTCGTTGCCACCCCTACTTAAATACGCTAA